TAGCGGTCTTAAATAATTCCTCTGCATTATGAAATCATGAATTTACATCCCGAAATCAGGAATCATTGTTACGATTTCATGGGATGGCAAGCTTTTTCATTTCATGATTTTTTATTCATGAAAATGGAATCGGATTTGTTTCCGTGTAGGGTTCTCTAAGGGAGACCCCAAAGTACAGAGTTGGGGTGGGGATTCCAGATGGTGATCTCACGAAAAAACGGAGTGGTAGGGGTGGGGATTCCAGAGCGGGATTCCCCACAGTACAAAGTTTGGTACACAGAGTATTGGATTGGAGCGTAAAATATTGCATAATTGCTTTCCTGATAGCTGGCAAGGTTTCTCAACATATTAATAAATCGTTTTTTTCAGTATCGTTTTTCAGTGTCTAGTGTCCTTCTTGTGCGTTTTTTTCCTGATCGAAATACCAATTGTGTTCCTGGTTGCTGGCAAAATTTAAGTCATGTGGTTGAGGTGGTTAAAATGTTGTGACAATCTGGTGTCTTTAATGAAACATAGCCGCATCCATGGAGGGATCGTTTCCCAGGGCGTCCCGGTTTCTAGATGGCATTCCATATAGGTCCCAGATGTCCTGAAAGCAGGGACAGTAGATCACTATGTGGTCGACCGTCATTGTGACTTCACAAGTGTCACATTTCTTCCGGAAGGTGGGTGTGCTCTTTCCATGTTATGTGTGACTCGTGTGTGGCCGGAACGCAAACGGGACAGGATAAAATGGTCCCGCCAGTTTGGTACATATGTCCATCTTTTTGTTTTCCCCTTGAGCTTGCGGATAAATGGCTCTGTTCTGGAAGCTCACTCACTAGCCCAAGCTTCGCGAAGTATCGATTTAGTCCACTTTTTTGCGTCCGGATCGGGGCTGCTCGTTGTAACTATGCGACATCTACTCCCCATGGCAGCGAGGTGATCCACTTTGAGTTTTCCCCTGATCCCACAGTAACCAGGGATCCAGAGGAAGATGGTATTCGTTGAGGCTCCCATTTGAATCCCTTGGATCCACGGATGACGTGTTACAGGTGATTTCAATGCTGCGACAACACTGGCGGAGTCAGTTAAGATACATAGCAGGAAAGATGCATTTAGAGTCTGTATTCTAGAAACTTGTTCCTCACTGTTTGGCCCGCATATTGAAGCCAATGGATACTATAGTGGCACTTAATATTATTGAATTCGAATCTTTTTGTTTTATTTGCGGATATATAGGTATACATTTATGGGAAAAGTTGTAACTTAGCCAATTTCAAGCAACTTTGTAAAAATATATATCTCTTGAATTGACGTATTTAGAGAATTAAAAAATACGCCTTTTCAAGTATATTATCGAAGACAACAAATCAAGAAGACTGGCAACTCTTCCATCTTCTAATACGAACGCTATGAGACAGGTGCAATCGCGTCATCTACCGCTCAAAGGTAAATGCTTCGAATGAATTTGATAGCAAAGATTACATCCTCAGAAGAAAGGTTTGTGTATTTGCTCATTTGTCTATGCGTTGCTTCCACCTCACCTCAAGCGCAGCGCTATTGTTTCTGTCGCTTGATATGATGTCTTCGATATTATTGTATATAATATCATAAAATTAAACGAATTCAAGTTTATTCACTTCTGCAAGATCAGTTTGTCTTTTTTCATTTTTTTTTAAAATGCGATTGAGAATAACTTCTTCATGCGTCCCATGAAGCTTCAAACCAACCTGGTCTATACAAGGTGTGGAATTGAAGACCTGAATGTATTGGTGCGCTTCGTTTTTCACTCGGCTTTCATTCCGCTTCGCACGATTCGTTTCTTTTGTTCACTCAATCACCCTTGTAGTGACGTCATAGCGTTTGTTTCGATCGACGCTTGCATAGGAAAATTAATATGGATTATAGAATCTATGTATGTTACCAAAATTTATGAATGGTCTGCCACTAAATGTTGAGAAAATTTATTGATTATTGAATTATCACACTGTATACCATGAAAAAGCAGCCTGTTTGTGAGTTTTTGCCTGTTTTCAAGTAAGGAGCTATCATAAAATAAAAATTGCCAGCTGATATTTCGCGGCGACTTTACAAAAGAATACAACCAAGCAAAATCATCATGCAAAAATAGCTAGGATTTGTTTTACTCCTTATTTCGCAAATTTCCATTCGAGTGTTATGACGTTTTCACCATCGTCTCCCGCAAAGTTTACATTTTTTCCTCTACCAACACATACGTCAGGGCTAGATCTACACACCTTGTATAGACCAGGTTGGCTTCAAACGTCTTTCTGAGGTGACTTTCATCAGAAATATGAATTAAAAAAGCTACAATGGTTTTCAGAGAGCCATCCTGATTATTAGTTTTGTTTTAATATTTGGATGTTTGGTGTCTTTGGTGAAGCTTTTTTGCGGAGAAATCAATTCTTCTGGTACTTGTCGACATTAGGGTGGTTCTCAAATTAACTGATATTTAAAAACTCACTTTCTTATTTTTGGACAAACTATTTTGAGCTATTAAAATCATAAACTCTTGATCAATTTTTTTTTTGGTAATTTATCACACTTTCCAAATCTGCAATAATATTTGAGGGTTACTTTTCATTCTTTTCAGTTACAGTACATATACTGTCAAGAAACAAGAAAAACGCGGATACATCCTTGTAGAATAAGTCATGTTTTTTTTTTCTTTCGTAATCTTGTTTATACACACTTTGAGCAGGACATCTTGTGTATTTGCATCTCAGTTTCTTCTATACAATCTTTTCAAATTTTGTGAGACCCGTAAACTATCATCAATCTTTACCTTTTTAACACAGAGATGCGTATTGGAGGGTGGCTGCCGTGAGGAAAAGTAGATCATATATTTCCAATTAACATCTTCGTGCAGATATTTTAAACCATCTAACAGAAGAACGCCTCAATTAGGAGACTAAAACTAAGCTCGGTTAACTTTTTTTCAGGAAGTCATCATTTACTTGCAAGGAAAACAAATAAATGTTGTTTTTTGAATGTCCCCTCATGAATTCCTGCCAAAAGTTTCATGCATTGTCTGATTAGAAGTTACCATGATTTATTGTCATTTGATTCACAGGCTACAGGACCTAATCTCAGCATATGCTTCTATTATTTTGGGTTTAAAATTCCAGAGTGAAGTAGTTTCTGTCTGAATTTTCCACAGTCATTCTTAATAGAGGATTAAAGTCAACTCGGCAAATGTATATGACCTCATATCTGGAGGTTTTGTTAGCATTACTGTAATCACCAGATATTTTTTTCGATACTGGATTTAATTCATCTGTGTACATACAACTGGTCTATGAGCGTCCAGTTATGTGATTCAAGTCACTCATTTATATCATCTCAGTTATCTACACACCTTGAACCAGTTTTTCCATTGCTCGTAACAAGTTTGTTCCATTTCTGTGCGACCGCCGTAACCGGCCAGCGGTCAACGTCACACTACTCAACAGACCGTCCGTCAGTTAGTCTGTGAGGTAGTTGCGGTCGCTTATTAAACACACGCAATGTAGGCTTTCCTTTTTTCCTTCCTTTTGCTGCTCCATCCCACGAGATCCGAAGTTGTGAGAGATGGACACTCACGACCACCACCCAGTCCGGTGATCTGTCAGTCAGTGTTCCATTCTGAAATGAGGATCAAGCTGATCATATGGGGGATCCTAGTACCAATACAAACAAGTCTCGACGACGGAACTTATGGGGAAAAGCGATCATCGTACACGTAAACAGCGTAGGTATGCTTTGTAGATCGCATGTGTGGGAAATTCATAAGCATATGTGTTGCGCTGTTGGGCATAGAAGATGTACATTGTACATATATTCGTACGTGTATGGAGGAAATGAAATGAAGAGATCATTAAACATAGCGGTACTTAGTATATCATTTTACATTTTATGTTTTTACTTTGATTTTCTTGGGAGCTTTGGGTTTGTATGTTATTTTGTGTCTTCTGCTGTCTGCATGGACACCAGTCGATGGACGGGCAAATTTCGCGTGTTTACGTTTCACGATTCTGCTTGCTTATTCATTTTTATTTTGCGAGATTGTAGCGTAACGTCTTTTGGATGTATCATTCGAATTAGGTCATCGTACTTCGTTAGTGGAAAAAAAATCATAATCAATATGGATCAAAGGTGGAGTAACCAATCCTATCCACATCCATTGGATCCAAATGTGTAGGGTATGTGCTCTTTCTTTCAATATTTAGCAATAATTACTGGGTAAGATTCAAATCGGTGTCGAACATTCGCACCGATTCGTAGCTGTTCAACAGTGTTTGATATTGCTACTTGATTTACATCGGTTTTGACGATTTCACACGATATTTCTCAACTAGTATTTAACATCACCGAGAGATCTATGTTTCCTGCATTGAAATGTTCATTTGATGGGAATTGTTTCAAACACTAGGTATGTCTCGATTCTTTCACTGGATTGCCAACAACTTTCTAGCACGATTGAAATGAAAGGGCTATTACGGTCACCGATACAGATTGTTGCTGTTTTTGTTGTTGAAGGTATAATAACACAGGCAAGTGGTCCATTGCTACAACACAGTAGTAATAAAGTAAGGTAAGACACTAAGAATGAGCTATAATTCCGACACGTTGTACAAATGTTGTATCGCTGTGAAAGAGTAAGATAGGGTGAATTTTGTGCGCGAGATTAAAATTATGATTACAGTAATCCATGCTGGTTCCACCCACCAACCTCCAGTCTAGTTGTTTGCTTTCGTTTAGCTGCCGTGTTTTCCACTTTACTTTTTGTCGTGTGAAATATAATCAGAAATAATACTGCCAACCGACTTTCCCTTTGTCTTGATTATTAGAGTTTTTTTCTTATATTTTGTTTTCACAGGTGTTTCTTTTTTTTCCCTTTTCGTGGTGAGATTTCCGATTGTGTTTATTTGTCTTAAGAATTTAGTATCTTTATATAGTTTGTTTCCCCTGTTGATTGTGATGAATAATTATGCTTTATTTTGTGCTTTTTGTTACAGATTAAATCGAAAGTCAATGTGGCGACAAGATGGTTATCGTTACACGGGTAAGTGAATCAGGATTGAACTACATCTAACGCATTAAAATAAGCCACTCATTTTGAATAAACATTTCAACTATCATTATAGAAGGGGGATTGGAATAAAACAAACACTTACTTGTTTTACATTAATTCATGATTGTTAGTCACGTGATATGTTCACTGTAGCTAGGAGAACTGGGTGTAATACGCACCAGTGGGGTAATATGAAAATTTGTCTCTTCTCGTACTTTTCAAGCCAATTGATATGAAAATTGCACACCTTCCAATTCTGGATTAACAACCTTTGAATTTATTTTGATAATCCCATAACAATTATGTTGGTCATATTACCCTGCTGTATTTTGTTTTAAATTTTGCTCTGCAGATTAAATCTTAACATTTGTTTAATATTTTTCATGGATTGTCCAGATGATTGTCCAGATGATTGTGAAACTTTGGACTTGGCCAGATACCATGCGGTACCAAAATCCGTACACCTAAGAAATGAATTGAAGTCCGTACACCTCACACGAGGCATTTTTTTTATGAGGTGTACGGATTTCGGTCCAGCACATTAATCAGGTTCACATTATTTTTTTGATTTTTTGGAAGGCTAAGAAGTAAATCATGCAATGTAAACAAACGTTTCATGTTAAGTTCAGTGTACTCAAACCGAAACACAAGCAAATCGAATAATATAACATTTGATTGAATTGATTTTCTCGTTCCTTTCAACTGATTCTTATGTCGAAAGGGCCGCTTACATGTGTCGGTCTCAAGGAACCGAAATTTACATGATCTTTTTAGTAGTGAGCAATTCCCTATGAATTCGCAAATCGGTTTATTTTTTTTATTTGGTTGAAAATTTGCAGTAACGTTTCTTATGACCGACAATGCCATTTTGCATCTTCATATCGCCATTTTGAATCCAGCCTTATTTTTGAAAAGGGCATATAGGGTCTTATTACGGGTGTCACTACACGGTGATAAGGAAGTGATACTCAGAATAAGAGCCGTGATTGCCGTGTGAATCAAACGGGAATCACTTCACGTGGTTGCAATAGATGGCATTTTTTGTCCCCTAAACATATCAACAAATTGAAAAATACAAATCCTTTTTTGAGGAAAAAATGTTTTTAAGATTTTATTTGAAATAAAAAAAAAAGTTGTGTAGTTTTTTTTTGAGTGCATATTTTTTTCAAATTGTCTCATCTATTATCTGCAATATTGTCCAAGACACAAAATCGATCGGGCAAACAGTTTTCGAGTAAAAAATTTCTGAACATAAGCTTGATATTTTTCAATATGCCCTTTTCAAAAATAAGGATGGATTCAAAATGGCGATATGAACATGCAAAATGGCATCGTCGGTCATAAGGAACATTTTTGCGAATTTTCAACCAAATCAAAAAGTACGAAAATAACCCGATTTGCGAATTTGTAGGGAATTGCTCAGTGTGTAGTGACAGCTTGTCAAATCAGGTCATAACTTCACATATCCTTTGTCTGTCTTGATAAACGCAAGAATGCGTTTTTTTTTCAGGCACTCTTGCTTGTACCTTTAACTCCATCGTCTCCTGGGGTGAAAAATTGGGTAAACCGCAATTGCAGATCCCCTGCCAGATCATCAACTTCCGGGTGAATTAGAAACGAACTCAAACTCACCGGGGGCATATCTATTTCTTTTTGTTTTCGCTCATTTTTTTAAATTTTAAATTTCTTTCTCTCTTCTTTCATATTTCATCTATTTTCAATCGACATGAATCTACAAACGACTATCAAAACATTCCAGACCCGATCAACAGGGGCTCTGCTAAATTGCGTCCAGATTCTAACTAACCCAAGCTTTATAAGTCAAAGCATTCTCGATTACTTTTTCAAATAGACGTATCTGTTTTTGTAAACAACGATTCAATCGTCAATTTGCCGAAACTCTTTACATTCCCACGTGAACTAACAACACTATCTTGTTGAGAAAACAATACCCTTGTTAATGGTGGTGTTAGTTTGAATGTGAGTGCTAAGAGTTTCGACAAATTGGCGTTTGAATCTTTGTATACAAAAGCCGATACGTCTATGTGAAAAAGTAATCGAGTATTATTCATAATAATTGGTTTTGGTTTTTTTCATGAGTGGAATATGAATTATTTCGTCTTACAATATCTTGAAAGATTGTCACTGTCCAGAATTAAGGATAAAATTTCTATAAATTCGACATTAATAAAATATAATCCCATATTTTGCACCAATAGAAACAATAAAATGCTTCATAAAAAATCAATGATTATGATAAAAAAACAGGCAGATGTGCCAATATTTAAGTTAAAATGCTCATTAATAAATCTGGAGGCACCATGAATAAGTAAAATTGCCAGTAAAGGGTAAACCGGTTAAAAATTGGTCAATCATGATTAAGTGCACACTGATTATGTTATTGTATAAATAATCAAACTTTATTTCTTAAATACAGGATTTTCCAAATGCGAACTGTCGGTTTTTACGTTTCACACCTTCCATCAGATTTTGTACCGCTGTTGTATCAACCTTATTTGATACTGAACCGCCGACAAACCGACATGAATGACCATAGCAAAAGCAATAAAATTTCTGACCAAATCACACTACTGACTCTCGCTCCGTGTTCGCGGGAAATGTTTAGCTAAGCCATGAACCCGCATGTAAAAGTTATGAATTGGTTCGTGTCTGATCTTTTCTAGACAAAATATTTTTATCTAGATCAAAAAATTCTATGGTTTTGACAGTTCGGATCACTGCACATTTAAATCGACCGTTTACGATTTTCGGCATAAGTCAGAATTAAGTGTCACGTCGGTTTGTCGGTGGCTGAACGTCAATTTCCTTTGAACTGTTTCTCATTTAAACTGTTTTCTGAGTTTTTCTTGAGGTTCCGCTTAACGATTGCCCAATATTTTTCGATTGGGCGCAGCTCCGGCGAGTTTGGAGGGTTTTTGGTCCTTGGGTACAACTTGGACGTTGTTGGGGGTGTACAATTCCTGAGTCATTTTCCCGTAATGACAGGAAGCGAGGTCTGACAAAAACAGCACGGAATAACTTTAATTTTTCAAAAAAGGCTACAGGTGGTTTTGCAAACATCCCTTTACATAAATATCTTGGTTAACAGTACCAGTTGTCACGGAAATCCGCTTTTCAGCCCACATGTGCCTGCCGAACAAAGTATTTTTTCGAGAACTTTGACAACTTTTTCTGCTTAAACTTATCTTGAACCAGTCCCTTTCTGGTAGCCGTGTAAAACTCTTGACCTGGGAGCTTGTATGTTGACTCGTTTCTTGGCTATTTGCGCTGTTGTGGGAGATATTCCCAGCTTCTATCCGATATATCTAATGGAGAGGTTAGGATTACGCTTGAAAACGCTGGCCACTCTTCTACCAGTCGCTGCGTCATCCTGGTTTCGGTTTCCTCCTGATACTGGTATCCTAGCAGTCGTCAGACGTTCCCCAAACACTTTAATTGGCCACCTTCAGCGATTTTGCCAAGTCTGCGTAGGAAAAATTGGGATTTTGCTTACGAACGAGCAAAATTTGTATACCCTGTTCCTCTTGCTTCACGCCATTTTGACAGCTGAATAGTAAATGGCAATAGCAAAATAGCGGCAATATTACATACGTACACACCTACAAATGAGGGTTGCTCAAGTTTTTTAAGCGCACGATAAAAAAAAAATAACACAAAATTTTAGTCCAACAATTCTTGACCGTTTCATCCTTTATATTTATAAATATTCTTCATAAAACAAGGGAAATGATCAACTAAAAAATATCCATTAAAAATGTTTAACCTGCTAGGGGGCCCCTAGCGGGTTCGGCCTACACGGCCTGAGCGTCTGTTCACCATGGAGGTGCGGCTCAAACAGCGTCTGACTGGCATCCAGCGGCTGAATAAGAAATGCTGTATTGTGTCAGCTAAATCTAAGATGGCAGCCCCATCTACACAATAACTGAGCGTCTGTCCACCATGGAGGTGCGGCTCAAACAGCGTCTGCCTGGCATCCAGCGGCTGAAACAAGAAATGCTTATCCCCGAAAGCTATACCCAAGATGGCAGCCCCATCACGGCGGATAGGAGACCTTAGGCTAACTACCTACTGTCCCCGAAACTTTACAACTGTTACAGAAACCAATAGAGAAAGATCACGGACTGATATTACGGCAACGACTTTTAGCGCAAAACAACGGACAAGAATTGGAACATGGAATGTACTAACGCTAGCCCAACAGGGGAAGCTGGCACAACTCGCCAGCGAGGCTCGACGCATGAAGCTCGAAATCCTGGGACTAAGCGAAGTCCGTTGGCCAAACTTTGGAGAACACAAGCTGCCGTCGGGACAGGTACTACTCTATTCTGGTATTCGAGGTGAAAACGCTCCCCGCCACCGTGGAGTTGGTTTCCTGCTTAGCGCCCAAGCAAATGCGGCGCTCATCAAGTGGGAACCTATCAATGAGAGGATAATCGTTGCCAGATTCAGAACGCGGGTTCGTAACCTAACCATAATCCAATGTTATGCGCCAACCGATGCTGCCGAGTTACAGGACAAAGAGAACTTTTACAGTCAACTGAATGCAGTCGTGGATAAAATTCCGAGAGGTGACATCAAGATCTACATCGGCGACTTCAATGCGAAGATCGGCTCCGACAACACGGATTATGAGCGTGTCATGGGGCGCCATGGTCTTGGCGAAATGAGCGAAAACGGTGAGCTGTTGGCAGAGTTTTGTGGCAATAACGACATGGTGATCGGGGGTTCGCTCTTCCCCCATCGACCAGTGCACAAAGTCACGTGGGTTTCCCGTGATGGACATACCGAAAATCAAATCGACCACATCTGCATCAGCCGAAAATGGAGAAGGAGCCTTCTTGACGTTCGGAACAAACGCAGTGCCGACATCGCGTCTGACCACCATCTCCTCGTTGGAGAGATCCGCCTTCGTATCGCGCGGGTCCAGCGGCGGGAGGAGCGGCTCGGACGGCGATTCAACACACGCCGAT